AAACAATGACATCTTGAAATTTACATGCAAAGGGTTGGAACTAGAGAAAACCATCCTGAATGAGGTAACTCTTACCCAGATAGACAAACATGGTATTTGCTCACTCATAAGCAGATATTAGACATAAAGCAAAGATTAACCAGCCTATAGGCCACGATCCCAGAGAAGCTAGGTTACAAGGAGAACTCTAAGAGAGACTAACATGGTTTCCACAGAAAAGGGCAAACAAATAAGATCTCCTAAAAAGATTGGGATTTTGAGGTTGGAGAAGGGAGGCTGGAAGGTGATGGGGAGGGGAGAAGAAGAGGGAAGAAGAGAACATGAGGGAACTAGATGCTCAAGATGGGGAAGGGCAGAGAGGGAGAGCAAGGAAAGAGATATCCTGATTTAGAGACCCATCAAAGGGCTAGCAAGAAACATGACACTAGGGAAATTCCAAGGAATCCACAAGGATGACCCCAGATAAGACTCGAAGCAACAGTGGAGAGGATGCTTAAACTGGCCTTGCCCTGTAATCAGATTGATGACTACCTTAATTGTCATCATAGAACCTTTATCTAGCAACTGATGGAAGCAGATACAGAGATCTATAGTGAAGTGCTGGGCAGAGCTTCCAGAGACCAGTCTAAGAGAGGGAGGAGCAATACTAAGAGCATGCAGGTGAAACCCACAGAAACAGCTGACCTGAGCTAGAGAGAGCTCGCTGACTTTGAACTGATATGGGGGAATCCTGCATAGGCCCAAACTAGGCCCATTGAATATGGGGGGCACTTGTGAGGCTCGGCAGTCGGTGGGACCACTGACAGTGGGACAAGGATTTGTCCTTAGTGTTTGAACAGGCATCTAGGAGCACATTCTCTTTGGAGGGATACCTCGCTCAGCCTAGATATGGGGGGAGAGCCTCGGTCTTACCTCGAAGTGAAGTGTCGGACTTGGTTGATTTGCCATGGGAAGCCTTACCCTTTTCTGAGGAGTGGATGGTGGGTGGTGGAGGGGAAGGGCTAGGCAGGAGGAGGAAAGGGAGGGGGAACAGGGATAGCTATGTAAAATGAGAAAAGATTGTAATAAAAATTCTTAATAAAATAAAAAACTAGTGTATTAAGATTTTGAATGTTGTAAATAATTTGCTTTAGGATGTTTCTGTCATGGAGGTAATTTTTTTTTGTTCTTCCATTCTGGAACTCATATTAGTCTATGTTATCAATCCTTGTTTTTTAGGGCCTTAATGCATTTCTCCAGAGTCTTCTGCCTTTCCAAAGCTTCCAATAAGAAGTGAGCTATTATTCGGATAGGTTTTCCTTTATATATTTTTTTGTGTTTTTTTTCTTGCAGCTTTCTGCAAACTTTCCTTGTTTTATATACTTAGTGTTTCATCTGTGGTATGCCATAGAGATTTTCTGTCCTTGATTTACCTGGTATGTTCTGTGTGCCTCATGCATCTGTGTGGATGTTTATTTCCTTAGTTTGTAGGAAGTTTTCTTCTACAATCTTGTTAAAGAGCTTGTCTGTGCATTGACTTTGGGTTCTTCTAACTCACTTAGGCCTATAATTTGATGGTTTTAATATTTTCATGCTTTCCCACATTTCTTGTTTATTTTTTTCTGTTTTTCGATAGTTCTTCCTTTTTTGTTTTAGGTCCTCGCCTTAAACTTTTCTTGATTCATAATACTAGTAAGGTTTTTCTTTTAGTCTTCTCACTGTATTATTGGATTGTTTCATTCTATCTTTATTTCAGTTATCATTTTCTTCAGTGTTCCTATCACTTTGTTAAATCTCTTCTCAGGTTATGGGTTGTTTTTGTTATTTCCATCCACCTTATTATTTTGTTTTTTTGTGGGGGCATCACTCAGACTACAGAAGTTCATCTATTTAAGATTTTCTCTTTCATTTCTTTGAGCTATTCCTTTGTGTTTTTATTTTCTGTCTTGAATTATTTTGTGAACTTCATGGTTGTTCATTAAATTCTGTTTCCTGTGTCTTATCAAAGTAATTGTCACTGGCAAACTTTTATGAGGTTAATCAGTTTCGGAGGGAGATATAGACTTGATTTTTCACCATGTCTGAATTCTCGCAAAGGGTTCTGAGATTGTGGTGGGGAAAGTCAAGCAGAATCAATTAGCTAGACTCTTGACAAAGAGGTGGAAGATTTTCCTTGGTAGTTAGGTTAAATGTGGTATCAAGGAGGCAAATCTTTTAAAAAACAATATGATGTGGGATTCCCCTCTGTATGCTGTAAATACCATTGGTTAATGAAGAAGCTTGTTTGGGCCTAATACTGCGCAGAATAGGGTAAGGCAGGAATGCCAGAAAGTTAGGGGAAGAGAGAGTAGGTAGAGTTAAAGAGAAGCCGTGTAGCTGCCACAGGAGACAGATGCCAGATGCTGGGTGGAACCTTACCAGTAGGCCACAGCCCCATGGTGACACACGGATTAATAGAAATGGGTCAATTTAAGATAGAAGAGCTAGCTAGCAATACGCTAGAGTTATTGGCCAAGCAGTGTTTTAATTAATAGTTTCTCTGTGGTTATTTTAGGTCTGGGTGTCCACGAACGAACGAGCAGCCTCCATCTACAACAATCCTTCTGTTTAGTCTTTGAAATTTTTATACATTTATATAATGTATTTCCATCTTATCTATAGCACTTCCTCTCATGAACTGACCCTATGATCATCCAATTAATTTGCCTTCCTCCTTAAAGTCTAATTTTTTTGTTTTTATTGTTATTATAACCAATGGACTAGTGAATCTAGGCAGTATAGTTTATAGGCAAATTTGTATAGAGGTATTCACTGTAACATTGGTGAGTCGGTATTGGATACATTTCCCCCAAAAGTGTCTTTCATTCTCCTAGTGGATAATCAACATTCAGTAGCTTCTTACCCAGGAGAGGAACTTAAAGAGTATCCTCCTCACCCACATAGAAATCTGATATTGGCTTGATCTGATGTAGTCTTGTATGGGTGGCCACCCCCGCAGCTAATCACTTGTGTGTCCAGGAGACAGAATTTCACAGTTATCTTTGTAACGTTGTTTTATTTAATTTTCCATTTGTTTTCATTTACTTAGATTTTAAATACATAATTTCTGTTTTTGATAATTTCAGACATACACAATTTATTGTGAGCCTATTAACCTCCTTATTAAAAATTATTTTATTTATTATTAAAAATTATTATTAATTTATTTATTAAATAATAAAAATTTATTATTAAAAATTATTTATTATTAAAAATAAAACCTTTTTATTTTCTTTCAAATCCAGTTGATTCTTTTACCCAAATAGTACCTCCAATATGTTCATGTCTTTTTTGTGTTACCTACTGAAATTTGTAAGATTTACTGAATGAACATGGTTAAGGTATTATTTACTGTACCCTCTCCAATTTACTACATTAAAGAAAAATGACTTCTCAAAAAAAATGTGAGGACTTCTAATTCCCTCTTCTTTCCAGAAGGGGGCGCTGAAGAACTTCATTTTCTACAGGTATTTTCAGGCTACACATATTTGTTTTAAGGTCATGTTTGTATTGACTGTCTTATATACTGAGCCTGGAATTTACAATTAGCTCTCCCAATTCTCTGGCTCTTATAAACTTTCTGATGCCTCTCTTGCAAGGTTCTATGCATATTGGAGGCGCTTAAGATGTCACTTGGGACTGAGTTTTCCAAAACCACTTACTTTGCCACCTACTTTTTTTTTTTTTTAACATACTGTAAGTGTAGATTATAGAACAACCATAAACACTGAATAGATTCTTTAACAATGTCAAATTTGTTTTTGAAAATTTGAATTGATAAAGTAACAGGGAGAGTAGTGTATGCCTTAAAAGTGGTTTATGATATCAGAGTGGAAGGTCATTTGTTTGATGCCAGAAACCAAAGCTATGGGCAGCTACTGCTGAAATGAGAGCAGAGGATGGGAAAGAGGGGCAGAAGAGATAGTATTGAAATGAGTGGGAAAGTTCAGGCTTTAAAGAGTAAGACTAGACAACACAGTGCATCGCAAAACACAGAAAAGCCATAAAACCTACATATTCAATATAGCAGCATAAAAAGTAAAAGAAAATAATTAAGGTATGTGTGTACGCTAGAGAATATGTTAGAGAATTATAGCGAGGCATAGAGAATATGGAAAGTACAATAAATAAAGTATTATACTGTCAATCAGGGCATGCTATTGGTGGGCTGTTTTTACTTCCTTCTTCCCTTGTGATGATTCACTTAGAAAAGTGTCCTGAAGATTGAGTTGTAGTCTGTAGCTTCAGATATAATCTAGAAAACCAGACTTGTAGGAATGTAGTCTGCTGAACAGTTTAATATTTCTTTTGTTGTTGTTGTTGATTTCTTGGTATAATTGTGCTGAGTAAAGTAGTGTAGATCAGTTCTCATATTCTTTGTTTTCATGTCAACTTCAGATTTACGTGGTATGCATCATCTACTCAATCTACTGCCTGCACTGTGCCTTATCTGTCAGCCCGCAGTGGACCCAGCATTGAGTCAGGCCTCAGAAGCCAGTCTGCTTCCTGCTCACTGCACCTGTGGTGCCATTGTAAGGGCATAGGAGTCAGTCCTCTCCTCGTCTCTTCTGCGGCTATCAGTAGAGCCATGTGCAGACAGAATCTCTGCTTCTTTCTTGGATATGGCAGTCCTGGCTCTTGCTCTATATCCTGATCTGGGCAATGTATTCAACTACGGTTGCATGAATACATGTCACATCTCTGCAGCCAACTGTTCCGCCAGCAACAATTTGTGGAGAGGAGAACCTTGGCCGGTGATTCACATGGAGTTTGCCTAGAACAACACATGAAGATGATTTGCCTTTCATCCACACATCCCATTACAACCAGTGAATCTAACACCTATGCTGGTCTCACATCACTTGACCTATCATATTCCAGGATAAACTATTGTCAGCATAGACTGTAATTTATACTATCACGTTTAAAATGATGCTTACTTAAGAACATTTTATTTTCTGCACTTATTCTTGTTTCCTTAGGTGAAATAAAGAACTTTGCACCTGGGTCCCCGATAAAACAGCTCTCTTTCGTGACAGGGCATACTGACATTTGAGAATGTGGCCATAGACTGCTCTTGGGAGGAATGGGAATGCCTGAGCTCTGTACAGAGGGCTTTGTCCAAAGATGTCATGTTGGAGAACTAAGGCAACCTGGTCTCTGTGGGTGAGAGTATTTTTATCTCATGATTCCATATTTATTATAGTTATTCCATTCAATTATGTTTTATAGTTGCATCTAAATTATTTTCTTGACATCTACATGAAAATTTAATAAAATATACATTTCATCATGTACACCATAACACTTTAAGGAACATTATCTTGATATTATATTTACCTTTGCTGATGCTAGCAATCACCCTCAAATCTTTTATAATATGTTTTACTTTTCAGATTATTATACTTCATAGGTTATATTTTGATCTATATCTTAATGATTCACAACATACTTGAATTTAGATTCAGTAGTAATTTAAAAAGGAATTCAAGGTATATAATAGTTACTATTATATTTTTTGAATATTTTAAAATATCAACAGATGACATTTTAGAAATTTGGAAATTTGGAAACTTAAATTCCTTCTTATTTAATCAGTACAGTGGTGTATTAGAAACTAATATACTTCCATTATTATTCCCAGAAAGGTCATGTGTCTCTTCTAATAAACAGGCCTTGCAGTGTCAAAACCAGAACTAATCAGTTCTCTTCAACAAAACAAAAGACTCCTGGAATGTGAACAAAAGAGTGACAGAAGACAACGAGAAAGGTGAGTTAGAAAAAACCACTGGCATATGAATAAGACCGAAGGCAAGTTAGAATTCAGACCTGCAGTGGGGTTTGTGGAAATCTTCTTCACTTGAGATGATCTAAAATAAACTATTGATTTTTGTAATGTCTTCAAATATGCTATTGATGTGGGAGTCCCCTCTGTATTCTCTGATACCATTGGTGAATAAAGAAACTGCCTTGGCCTGTTGATAGGGCAGAGTAGAGCTAAGCAGGGAAAACTAAACTGAATGCTGGGAGAAAGGAGGCAGAGTTAGTGAGAAGCCATGTAACCCTGCTGGAGGCAGATGCCAGAATTTTACCCGGTAAGCCACAGTCTGTGGCAATACATAGATTAATGGAGATGGGTTAATTTAAGATGTGAGTTAGCCAGAAATATGCTTAAGTTATTGGTCAAACAGTATCACAAATAATACAGTCACTGTGTGATTATTTCGGGGCTGAGCAGTCAGGAACAAACAAATGGCCTCTTACAACGTGCCATAAGGAGGATTGCAGATGATTCATTGCCATATTTTTGAATGCTGTTGATCCCTTAATTTTATTATCTTGAAACAAAAACTCACATTCAAGTAATATTTTGGCCGTATGTGATAGACAATTTCTCTTTATCTAATTTCACTTAGGCAGAGGCTGCTCGTTCATTTGGCCCGGACCCAAAATAACCACACAGAAACTATATTAATCGTAATACTGTTTGGCTTAAGCGTATTTCTAGCTAGCTTTTACATTTTAAATTAACCATTTTCTATTATTTTATATTTTCGTGGTTTACCAGCAAGTTTCCGGCATATCTATTTCCTGCAGCAGCTACATGGCTTCTCTCTGACTCCACCTACTTTCTCCTCCTCTACATGCTTGAAATTCCTACCTTGCCCTATTCTGCGCTGCAATAGGCCCCAAGGCAGCTTCTTTATTAACCAATGGTGTTCACAGCATACAGAGGGGAATCCCACACCAATTTCATGTTTTTTTTATGCTTCCATATCTATATTACATGGGTTTTATTGTTGTGTAATACTGAATGAAAGCAGGAAAGAGAAAATTTATAGGTCTACTCATTTTTGAAGACTATCTTACCACTTTCTTTACCTTTAGATTTCATAGCAACTTAAATGTAATTTATTTATTTATACAAACATACATTAGATTTTTTGTGTGTGTGTGTCTGGAAAATGCCGTTTTTTTGTCATTATCTATCAACTCTGGCCCTTACCATATTTCTTCATGTTTCTTTTGTTGATTTTATGTAAGTAACACTTTTTTCATTTATTTTGCATACTGACTCCAGTTTCTGCTTCCTCATCTTCTCTGCAAGTTTGCATTCCCACCAGCAATGGAGGAATGTTCTCCTTACTCCTCATCCTCGCCAACATAAGCTGTCATCAGTGTTTTTGATCTTTACTATTCTGACAGGTATAGGATGGTATCTCAGAGTTGTTTTGGTTTGTATTTTCCTAATGGTTAGGATGTTGAACATTTCCTTAAGTGCCTTTCAGCCATTTGAGATTCCTCTGTTGAGATTCCTCTGTTGAGAATTCTCTGTTTAGATCCGTACCCCCATTTTAAAATTGGATTATTTGGTATTTTGATGTCTAGTTTCTTGAATTCTTTGTATATGTTGGAGATCAACCCTCTGTCTGATGTGGGGTTGGTGAAGATCTTCTCCCATTCAGTAGACTGCCGTTTTGTCTTGTTCACTGTGTCTTTTGCTTTGCAGAAGCTTCTCAGTTTCAGGAGGTCCCATTTATTAATTGTTGATCTCAGTGTCTGTGCTGCTGGTGTTTTATGGAAGTGGTCTCCTGTGCTAATACATTCAAGGCTACTTCCCACTTTCTTTTCTATGAGGTTCAGTGTGGCTGGATTTAGGTTGAGGTTTGTGATTCATTTGGACTTGAGTTTTAGTCCATATTTACTATGTTGATCCTACCTATCCAGAAGCATGGGAGATCTTTCCAATTTCTGATATCTTCTTTTATTTATTTCTTCAAAGATTTAAAGCACTTGTCATACAGGTCTTTCTCTTGTTTGGGTAGAGTTACCCCAAGATATTTTATGTTGTTTGTGACTGTTATGAAGGGTGATGTTTTTCTGATTTCTTTCTCAACCCATTCATTGTTGTATATAGGAGGGCTACTGATTTTTTTGAGTTGATCTTGCATCCTGCCACATTACTGAAGATGTTTATCAGCTGTTGGAGTTCTCTGGTAGAGTTTTTTGGGTCACTTATGTATACTATCATAATCTGTAAATAGCGAAAGTTTGACTTCTTCCTTTCCAATTTTTAGCCCCTTGATCTCCTTTTGTTGTCTTATTGCTCTAGCTAGGACTTTGAGTAGAATATTGAATAGATATGGAGACAGTGGACAGCTTTGTCTTTTTCCTGATTTCGGTGGAATCACTTTCTCCATTTAATTTGATATTAATTGCTGATTTGTTGCAAATTGCCTTTATTATGTTTAGTTATGTTACTTGTCTTCCTGATCTCTCCAAGATCTTTATCATGAAGGAGATTTAGATTTTGTCAAAGACTTTTTATGTCTAATGTGATGATCATGTGGTTTCTTTCTTTCAGTTTTTTATATGCTGGGTTACATTGAGAGATTTTTGTATCATGAACCATCCCTTCATTTCTGGTTTGAAGCCTACTTACCATGGTGGATGAATTTTTTGAAGTTTCTTGGATTCAGTTTGACAGTATTTTGTTCAACATTTTTACATTAATGTTCATGAGGTAGATTGGTCTCTATCTTTTTTGTTTCATCTTTCTGTAGTTTGGTTATGAGGGTAGCTGTAGCCTCATAAAAGGAATTTGGCAATGATCCTTCTGTTTTGTTGTGTGGACCAATTTGTAGAGTCATGGTATTAGCTCTTTTGGTAATATTTGTGCTGAAGCAATCTGGACCTAGGGCTTTTTTTTTGATTGAGAGACTTTTAATGATTTCTTCTATTTCCTTAAGTGTTATTGGTCTATTTAAATTGTTTATCTGGTCTTGATTTAGTTTTGGTAGCTATCTAGTATCTACCAAGAAAATTATCAATTTCTTTTAAATTTTCCAATTTTGTAGAGTACAGCTTTTTGTAGTATGACGTGAAAATTCTTTGGATTTCCTCAGTGTCTGTTGTTATGTGCTATCTCTTATTTCTGATTTTGTTAATTTGGATATTCTATCTCTGTCTTTTGAGTTGTTTGGATAAAGGTTTGTCTATCATGTTGATTTTCTCAAAGAAACAACTCTTTGTTTAATTGAGTTTTGTGTTCTTTTTTTCTATTTTATTGATTTCATCCCTCTGCTTGATTAATTCATGTCATCTACTCTTTCTGGCTGCATTTGCTCTTTTTTGTCTTAGAGTTCTCTGGTGTGCTGTTAAGGCATTAGTGTGAGATTTCTCCAGCTTCTTTATGTATACACTTAGTGTGATGAACTTTCCTCTTAGTATTGCTTTTGTACTGTCCTGTAACTTTAGGTATGTTGTACATTCATTTTCCTTGAATTCTAGGAAGTCTTTAATTTTTTTCTTTCTTCCTTGGCACAGTGGTGATTTGTTTGGGCATTATTCAGTTTCCATGAGTTTGCAGGCTTCCTGCAGTTTGTGTTGCTGTTGAGTTTTAACATTAAGCCATGATGATCTAGTTCGATACAGGGGTTTATTTCAATGTTTTGTATCTCTTGAGATTTGCTTTGTGATTGAGTATGTAGTCAATTTTAGAGCAGATTCATGAGCTTCATTTGGGTGGAATGTTCTATAGATATCTGTTAAGTCCATTTGAACCATAACATATGTTAATTTCCTTATTTTTTTGTTAATTTTGTCTGACAGACCTGTTCATTAGTGAGAGTGTAAGTCTCCCGTTATTAGTGTATGGGGTTTGATGTCCAATTTAATCTTTAGTAAAGTTTATTTTACACATGTGGGTTCTCTTGTATTTAGGACATAAATGTTCAGTATTGAGACTTCATCTTGATGGATTTTTCCCTGTGGTGAATATGAAATGCCCTTCTCTATTTCTATTCATTAATTTTAGTTTGAAGTCTATTTTGTTTGATATTAGAATAGCTACACCAGCTTACTTCTTAGGTCCATTTTATTTGGATGTCTTTTTACAAACCTTTATACTGAGGTAATGTCTGTCTTTGAAGTTGAGTTATGTTTCTTGTATGCAGCAGAATTATTGGTCCTATTTTCTTTTCCATTCTGTTAGCCTGTGTCTTTTTATATGTGAATTGAATCCACTGATATAAAGGGATATTAGTGATTGTTAATTCCTGCTTTGTTTGGGGGATACTGTGTATATATGTGTGTTTCCCGTTTTTGGGAATTACTGGTGTGAGATTATCTATTTTCTGTGTTTCTGTGGGTGCAGTTAACTTCCTTGGCTTGGAGTTTTCCAACTAGTATCTTTTGTAGGACTGGAATTGTGGATAGAGATTATTTAAATCTGTTTTTCTCATGGAATATCTTGTTTTCTTCATCTATGCTGATTGAAAATTTTGCTGGGTACAATAGTGTGGGCTGGCATCTTTGGTCTCTTCTTGTCCGCATAATATCTGTTATAGCTTTCAGAGTCTCCACTTAGAAGTTGGGTGTTATTATTTTTTGTTTTTCGAGACAGGGTTTCTCTGTGCAACAGTCCTGGTTGTTCTAGAACTCACTTGGTAGACAAGAATGGCCTTGAACTCACTGAGATCAGCCTGCCTCTGCCTCTCACCAGCAGAGGTGTTATTATTATGGCTCTACCTTTCTTTGTTACTTGGCCTTTTTCCTTTGTAGGTCTTAATAGTCTATCTTTGTTCTGTGTGTTTAGTATTTTGATTCTTTTGTGGCAAAGGGACTTCTTTTGTTAACTCCACTCTATTTGATGTTCTGTAAGCTTCATGTACTTTGAAAGGCATGCTCTTCTTTAGTTTAGGAATGTTTTTGTCTATGATTTTGTTATATATGCATTTTCTGTTTATTGGAGCTGGTATTTTTTTCTCCTTCTTCTACCCCCATTATTCTTAGGATTGGTCTTTTTATTGTGACCTAGATTCTGGATGTTTTGTTTTATCACTTTGTTGACTTAAACATTTTCTTTGACCAATGAATCTATTTCCTGTATTGTATTGTCAATGCCTGAGATTTTCTCTCCCATTTCTTGCATTCTGTTGGGTATATTTACATCTGTCATTCCTGTTCATTTCCCCAGATTTTCCTTTTCCATAATTCCCTTGTTTGCATTTTCTTTATTGCCTCTATTTCAATTTTCAAGTCTTGAATTGTTTCCTTCAACTATTTGTTTTTTTCTTGACTTTCTTTAAGAAATTTAGTGATTTCTTCTAACTTTTTGTTTTTTCTTCCTCAATTTCTTTTTTTATTATTTTATTACTAAATAAATACCAATCCAAATTCCCACACCCTCCCCTCCTCCCACTCCTCACACCCTGCCACCCCTACATACTAAGTGAGGACAAGGCACCCTGCCCTGTGGCAAATCGAGGTCCTTCCTACTATATCTAGGTTGAGCAAGGTATACATCCAAAGAGAATAGGATCACAAAAAACCAGTACATGCAGTAGAGACAAATCCCAATGCTGCTGTCAGGAGCCCCTCAGTCTGCCCCAACTATCAACCACATTCAGAGGTACTAGTTTGATCCTATGCTCATTCATTCCCAGTTCAGTTGGAGTTGGTGAGCTCCTATTAGCTCAGGCAAACTGTCTCAGTGGGTGAACCTCTTATGGTCTTGACATCCTTGCTCATATTCTCGCTCCTTTCACTCTTCACCTGGACATTGGGAGCTCAGTCCAGTGCTCTGATATGGTTCTCTGCCTCTGTTTCCATCTGTTGTTAAATGAAGGTTCTGTGGTGATATTTAAGATAATCATTAGTCTGAATACAGGGAAAGGCCAGTTCAGACACCCTCTCCTCTATTGCTTAGGGTCTTAGCTGGGGTCATCCTTGTGGATTCCTGGGAATTTTTCTAGGGCCAGGTTTCTTGCTAATCCCATAATGGTTCCCTCAGCCAAGATATCTCTTTCCTTACTCACATATCTGTCCTTCCTCTACCTCAACTATCTATTCCCTCAAGTTCTCCTCAGCCCTCCCCTTCTTCCCTTCCTTCTACTTCCACCCCCATGCTCCCAATTTTGTCAGGTGATCTTGTCTTTTTCCAATTCCCAGGTGGGTCTATATATATATTTTTCTTTGGGTTCACCTTATTACTTAGCTTCTCTAGGATTATGAACTATAGGCTCCAGGGAATTTTTCATTTCTTCTTTAAGTATCTCTATCACCTTCATATAGTTATTTTTAAGGTCATTTTCTTTTGCTTCATCTGTGTTGGGATATCCAGGTCGTGCTGTTGTAGAACCACTAGGATCTGGTGATGCAATATTATTCATGTTGTTGGGTGTATTCTTACCCTACTTTCTACCCATATTGGTTTGGGTAATTCTAGGTGCAGGTGTTGATTCTTCCTCTAAACTGTGCAGGTGGTGCCTGTGCCTCTGGACACTAATGCCGTGAGGGAGTGGTTGATTGGGGGAGGATGATGGGTTCTGTGGGTTTGTGGGGCAGAGTGGGACTTGTAGATTACAGGGCCCATTGGGTGGTGGGGGTGGTGAAGCTCTGCCACAGGAGTCTTACCTGCTGTCTGCCTAGTAGAGTTGTGATGGTTGAATGTGGAGCACAGGATGGGCCTCAGGGCCTAGGGCCTAGAGACCTGGGCTATCCAGCTGGGAGACCAGCCAGTCCCCTCTTCCTCCAATCGGTACAGGTAATCACTTTTTTATTTTCTAAGAAGAGACAGAAAGGGGATGGAGTCTGACAGGAAGCAAAGTGGGGAGGATTCAAGAGGAGTTAAAACTGAAAAGCTGTAATCAGAATATGTTGTATAAAAAAATCTATTTCAGTAACAAAAAGTTGTGAAACATTCTCTTTCTGATGAGATGATGAGTCCTCAGAACTTCTTTGAAGTCTGAAATTTTGGAAAACCTTTCTTGTTTGTTAAGTGTATGATTATTTGTAGTGATTTCTTATGTTCACATCCTTTTTTCTTATTAATATTTCATGTTTTTATTAGCACTACTAAATTATTCATTTTGTTGGTTTATATGAAAAGCGGTGTCTGTTTTGAAAGTACAGTTTCACGATGAGAGTATATTTTCTTAATTATTGGATTATAGACTTATTTTACTTATTTTTCTATTGCTGTGGTTAAACACCACTGTAAAAGCAATTTGTTGAAGAAAGATTCATGATGGTGAGTCAGAGGTAATAATTGGCAGTGGGTTGCAGAAACAAAGAGAGCTCACATCTAGAAGCCCATAATGAAGCAGAGAGCTTACTGGGTACAGTAGGAAGATTTTCAAATCTCAAAGTCAGTCCCGAGATATATTCTTCTTCCAGTAACTGTATATCTATTAATCCTATACATAAAACTCCATCAGCTTCAGGCCACGTATTTAGAAGTCTGAGTATATTGAGCCATCTTATTCAAACTCCCACAGTCTTATTTACTATTCTGATTTTTTTTCTATTTTTGAGACAGGGTTTCTCTGTGCAGCCCTAGCTGTCCTAAAACTTGCTGTGTAGACGTTCTTGGCCTTGAACTCAAAGCATTTTGCCTGCCTCTGCCTCTCAAGTGTGGGGATTAAAGGTGTGTGCTACAACCTCTATACCTATTCTGAAAAAAAATTGTTTAAAAATTCTACCATAACATAATTAATGGCAATCTTTTTATTGATGCTATTTAATAAGTCATGAATCATATATCTAAAAGAAGACGTTTTTAAGAATAAAAGATCTGAAGTTTGTTTTTTGTTTTTGTTTTTTTTTTGGTTTTTCAAGACAGGGTTTCTCTGTGGCTTTGGAGCCTGTCCTGGAACTAGCTCTGTAGACCAGGGTGGCCTTGAACTCACAGAGATCCGCCTGCCTCTGCCTCCCAAGTGCTGGGATTAAAGGTGTGCGCCACCATCACCCGGCCTGACGTTTTTTAATATGTTTCCTTACATATGTGTCTACATATTTGTAAAATTTTATGTCTTGCGTTCTGAAAAATTTTGACCTAAGTAGGCTCATTCAGATAATTATTTATTTTCCTTCCCTCCATGTCTGAGTTCCCATAATACTTAACCCATAATTTCACAGAAGAACATACAAAATTCTACCCAGAAAGTGGTATCAGGATTATTTGGAAGTATTGACCTGGAGACTTGCATTTAAGGATGTTCCAGGAAGGTGCGGATGAGAACAAAAGCAAGGCTAATGTTATGATAGAAACAATCTGTGCTCACCAGCATCCTAGGTAGTCCTGAAAAAACAGTTCAAGAGCCTCTGTCTTTTCTTAACAGAAGTCATGCTAGGCCTCTTTGTCAACAGCAGATTCTTCAGTAGTAAACTATTTACATAAAATTTTGAAACACATTTGCATTATTCACAGAAATTTGAAAAATCCGTGAAGTGACACACAGAGCAATATAATCAGTTCTTCAAATATTTTTCATGTACCATGGGATTAAACCATACTTTTAATAGATTTTGAGAAAAAGAGACCTACAAGTAAAGAAAAATTTTCTGTGTAATCAGAATGACCTATATTCTACTTGATGGTGACCTGATTTCCTCAACAATTAATTGACTTTTATGACAAGTAATTCAATTTTGATCCACATAAGAAGGCTTGTCTCAATCAAATGAGGTTGAAAATTTATCACAGTCTTTTTTTGTTATGAAAAGCCTTACAATATAATGATATTATTAAAGCCACTGCTGGGAGCTGTGAAGAATAGATACCAGAACCCTTTTCTTGTAGGGCCAACTTCCCAAGACAAGGACTCGGTATGTCTTTATACAGGACTTAAAACCTACTAATTCACAGAATAAAACAGTTTTTGCAGAGGACCATTTCAATTACAATAACTGTAAAGAGACTTTTGATTATAACAAACACTTTTTTAGGCACCAGCCTGGTCAGACCAAAGAGAAGCTTTATAAAAGCTATCAACATGGCTGAGCATTTGATGAATGCTCAAACTGTTTAGTTTAGAAGAGCTATTGCTAAAAACATTTCCTACAGACAGAGTCAAGAATGTGATACCCTACTATCTGTGTTCAAATCTTATTCAAAATCATTCAAGGAACATGGAAGAGAGGCCCCAGACTTGCAAAACCTATAGTAAATCTTTTCCCTCTTGTTTAAATCTAGGTTGTCTAAAATTCCATGTTGGAGAGAAATCATGTAAATATAACTTATGTAAAAAACACTTCAGGAGACCTTCACACCTCACCAGTCATAGGAGACTGCATTCTGAAGAGGCACCGTTAACCCGTAAGGAATGTGGGCAGCGCTGCAGTGAATGTTCACACCTCACTAAGAATAATAGGACTGACCCCAGAGAGGAGGCATACAGATTCAGCAAGAGTGCCAAGGCCTTTAAAGAGCTCTCACTTCATAGAACATACCATGAAATCCGTCCTTTGATAAACCCCACCAGGTATGAGAAGTGTAAAATAAATCTCAGGAGCACCTCAAATCTCACCATACATCCAATTCTGTCTACAGTAAGGAAATCCTACACAAGTGAGGAATGTGGAAAATGGCGCCAGAACTACCCAAACTCTAGCAGACACCAGAGAATTCATACATGAGAAAAATCTTACAAATGTAAAGACCGTTGCAAGTCTTTTGCCTATCACTCATCTCATAAAAGGTCACTACAGAATCCATACTGGTGAGAAACCTTACAGATTTGAAGAATGTGACAAAATCCTTTGCCTATAATTTGACACTTCAAACTCACCACAGAATCTATTCAGAAGGGAAACCTTAGAAATATGAAGCATGTGGAAATTTCTTTCCCAGGACTCAAATCTTCAGGCTCACCACAGAATCCATTCTTGTGATAAACCTTACAGATGTAAAGAATGTGGCAAGTTCTTTACTCATTTCTCAAGTCTTCACTCTCATTACATAATTCATACTCATGACAAACCTTACAAATGTCAAGAATGTTAGAAATCCTTTACCAGAACCTCTAATATTAGAAGCCACCAGAGAATTCATATAATGGAAAAGCTTTGTAAATGTCCTTAGAATATCTCACATTAACTCACTGTGTAAGAAAGACTTCATCCAGGGACGTGGTTCTATTATATTTTCAAAGACTTCAATTAATTTCAAAGCTTAGTCAATACTAGGGAAGCCTCTTTAAGAAGTTCTACACTTGCTGGGTGCTGGTGGTGCACACCTTTAGTCTCAGCACTCGGGAGGCAGAGCAGGCAGATCTCTGTGAGTTCGAGGCCAGCCTGGTCTACAAGAGCTAGTTCCAGGACAGGCTCCAAAGCCACAGCGAGACCCTGTCTTGAAAAACCAAAAAAAAAAAAAAAAAGAAAGAAAGAAGAAAGAATCTCTACACTTGGTATATATTTAGAATTATTCTATACAGATAGGGACTTTATAATCATAAAATATTTGTAGGAAAGTGAGCTATTTATGAAACAGATGCAGAGATATTCTTTCAAACTCTAAGTATTACTAATAAGGAAAGTTTTCCACCTGACATAATTTAAGCAATAATATTTTCTGACCTTATGTGTCAGGATACTGTTTTAAAGAACCATCCAAAGTAAAAATATTGAAGATTCTAGTGCACTTTTTAAGTGTAGTGTGATGCTGTTGTTTGTTTCATATGATGTTTACACAATGTTCAATATAAATATTAACACCCTGATATTATTTGAGATAGCACATATATTGCAGTTTGTTTTTAACTTCAACTACATTCCTTCTGTTTCTAAAAAAATATTAATTTTTATAGTCAATTTTTACATCTTTTATTTTTGTGGTGTCTATTCTTTACTGGGAGAGCATCATTAATGTCAGTTGTTTGATCAACAATAATGCCAGGAGAACTAAATGGTACACAAGTTTTAATCATCTTGGTTTAAATCAGTATGAGGTAGATTATAAAACCAATGTGCATGCCATATTAGTCAAAGAAAAGCCTACGAGGCCACAGCCTTATTCAAAGAACTGTAAACAAAGATTGGGAAGGCAGTTTTCCCCAGAAAAGAATATCAAGTGGATGGCCTTAAAACAAATATGCAAGAAACATTGTATGAATTTAGCCAGGTTTATTTAGGAATATTTATGTATATTCATGTATATATCCATGAGATAATAATTAGCAGAAAAGAAATGTGACCAGAGACCATACCTTTGAAGAACAGAATTTGGAGGTATATAGAGTTTGGAGGGAGGAAAGTTAAGATAGAAATGTTGTAATTTGGAGAGATCAAAAAAGTCCTTGCTCTACCAGATAACACTAGGAGAACCATAAAGTTTAAAGAGGTAGGGTTTTCTTTTCTTTTATTTCTTTTCTTCTTTTTATTGACTTTATTGAACTATATATTTTTCTCTGCTCCCCTCCCTTCCTTTCTCCTCCTCTTCTACCCTCTCCCATGATCCCCATGCTCCCAATTTACTCAGGAGATCTTGTCTTTTTCTACTTCTTATGTAGATTAGATTCATGTATGTCTTTCTTAGGGTCCTCTTTGTTGTCTAGGTTCTCTGGGATTGTAAATTGTTGGCTGGTTTTTCTTTGCTTTATATCTAAAAGTAACTTATGAGTAAGTGCACATGATGTTTGTCTTTCTGGGTCTTGGTTACCTCACTCTATGATGTTTTCTAGATCTATTCATTTGCTTGCAAATTTCAAGATGTCATTATTTTTTTCTGCTGTATAGTATTCCATTGTGTAAATGTACCACATTTTTCTTATCTATTCTTTGGCTGAGGGGCATTTAGGTTGTTTCCAGGTTCTGGCTATGACAAACAAAGCTGCTATGAATATAGTTGAGCACATGTCCTTGTGGTATGATTGAGCATCTTTGGGTATATACCCAAAAGTGGTATTGCTAGATGTGGAGGTAGGTTGTTTCCTAATTTTCTGAAAATCACCACACTAACATCCAAAGGGGCTGTACCAGCTTGCACTCCCACACTTTTACTTTTTTTCATCTGCTTATGCCTGTGCATTTGCCTTTTCTTCTCTTCATAGGCATGAATGGAAAAGAGCCATTTCTTATAAGATTTTCCAAATAGGACACAGTTTGTCTGAAGTTGTCTGTGCCCCAAACTGATTCACATTAGATCAGATTCCCAATCCTAAATCCCATAAAATTATGGGACATATATTAATGCAAACCAGACCTTAAAGAGGAGAAACACATTTTACTTTTTGAGATGAGTTATAAGTTTAGCCTGATGGAAGTGGGGGTTACTGATTTCTAAGCACATAAAGAGAGAATATTCATGTAAGTAGCATGTGAGCATAACTCTAAATGGGTCACAGTGTGGGATAGATGTATGTGGGCTTGGGAAAGAGAAGAAAAAGAGTATAGAGAGTTGGAAAAGAAATAAATCATTAAAAAGTCTTTAATAAAACAGAGTACAGTCATAGATTAAAAGGAGTAATAAGCCACACAAAGTTGGACTATACACAGAGAGTCTGGATTATGTATATTATTGTGATTATTGTGTTTTCTTTGAATTTTTTGACTGTGGAGGGGTACAGAGAGACATTTTATTGTATGGACTGCTAAGCTAAACCAGCATATATATTATAAAGGTATCATGACTTCCAAATTTGGGTCTAAGAATATATTGTTTTGGAAAAGAGGTTCTTCTTTTGTTTCCACAGAGGGTGAGAACCTGTGGATTGCTTCCAGACTGGTTAGGTTTGATAGACCACATTCCCCTGAAAGGTCACTGTGAACACCCCCCAAAAATTACTTCACCCAACTGCTGACTGAGATGAACCTTGTACACAGGATACACCATGAAAAACCTGATTAACAGCACCCCCAAACAGCAGAAAGCAGTTTGGACTAAACTATGCCTATATTCCCAAATATTGTCTATAACTGTTTGTTTACATTTGAAGGGGGATATACTGCAGAGATTTGCATTGGTATGGATCTTGGTTTATTGATACCAATTTAAAGTCAATTTTATTTTATGTATACTTCTGTTCTTGATTAAGGTATTGTGATTGTGTATCTCATTTTAAAAAATGTAATGTATATTTAAGAACTATAGATTAATAGATAATCATCCATAGTAGTCAAGCTTGTAGTCATGTTAGTTAGATTTCCAAGATGTATAGAGATATATTTCAGTTAGATAGGTATTCTTCAAATCTTTCAGAGACCTTTAGATTATGGCATTTAAAATGTTTAAAAACTTAAGACTTTTCATGACAGGGAGACACATCTGCTCCTGGTAGCACCAAGCTACTTCAAGAAAATAATGGACATTGAACAGGCTCCTTATGGAGTTGATTGACCATTTGGCAAGAAACTGTTCTTACCTAGACTGCTTGATAAATTGGACATGCAAGACTCTCAGAGAAATGACTGCTAAACTTGCCTAAAAGTGAGATGAACCTTCAGGGATCCTGTTTTATGAAAGAGTCTGCTAGAATTCTGCAGGACAGAGAAAAATATGACAAACAAACTGCCAGTAAAGACAGAACTGTCTTTGAAATTTCCTGCTTCATGGCAGAGTCTACTGGACACTATGGGCCTGTGGGCTGAAAATGGATGCCCAACGGTACAGAAGAACTTTGGGTGACTGTTCAGGTAGCGAGATGTTTTTGTCAATTCTAGAATTTTGGAAGTTGCTTGCAATGCACTTCCTGTTTACTTAAGTAATATTATACCCTTCTGGAATCTTTGATGGAGTTGAAGAATAGATATAGTTTTCCTTAGTTATGATAAAAGATAAAGTAGATATAAATAAATATCGTAACTGTAATTCTTGTTTGATACCTGTTTTGTTATATGTGATTTTACTATATTAAAGTTAAAACCTTCCTTTTTATTTAAACAGAAAAGGGGGGTGATGTGGGACTCCCCTCTGTCTGCTGTGATTGCCATTAATGAATAAAGAAACTACTTTGGATCATAGCAATTCAGAACTTATGTAGGCAGAGAAAGCTAGGCTCAATGCTGGGAGAAAGAAGGGCAGAGTCAGAGAAAAGCTATGGAACCGCTGCCAGAGTCAGACATACTGAAATTTTGCTGATAGTAAGCCACTGCTACGTGGCGATACACAGATTAATAGAGATGGGTTAAATTAATATGTAAGAGTAGCCAATAGGAAGCGAAAGCTAATGGGCCAAGAAGTGCTTTAATTAATACAGTTTCTGTGTGATTATTTTGGGTCTAAGCTCCCTGGGTGACTGGGATCCAACAAGCAGCTCTCTCCCACTACAGAAACTGGGAAGAAGCAAATCACAATCCCAGAGAACCTATACAACAATGAGGACCCTAAGAGAGATTTGCATAGATCTAATCTACATGGGGAGTAGAAAACAAGATCTCCTGAGTAAACTGGGATCATGGAGACCTTGGAAGAGGGTTGAAGGCAAGGGGGGAGACAGTGAGGGGAGCAGAGAAAAATGTAGAGCTCAATAAAAATCAATAAAAAAAGAATCTGGGTTCACAAGAGATGGGTTCACAAGACATGGAACAAGTTAGATGTACAGAAACAAGTGAGAGATTTAAAAAGCCACATGGTAGAATGTAGATTAACAGAAACAGATTGCTTCAGTATAAGAGCGAAGGGAGAGTAAGCTTCAGCTAAAGGATGGGATTTCATAATTATTAATAAGCCTCAGTGTAATTATTGTGAGATCCTGGTCCAAAGAAAATATGACTACAACATCCTAACCTATTATATAAATAGGAAAAAAGTTAAAGCTGATCTGTTAATTTCCTTAGACATGGAAAGTTAATTTGTTTATTCCTTTCTTCATCTCTAAAAAGCCATCACTCAACATCAATGGGCTCTGCTTCTTTGACAAAAAGACATTTTTGTGTTACAATTTTAACCCTTTTAATTTAAAATTGATACAGATTTTACATGATATATAATACAGCCATCATGAAAAAGAGAGCTCATAATTTAAGATTGTCAGAAATCAACAAAAACCACATGAAAGGGTAATTATGGCTGCTTCTTCTGAAGAACTGATAATGTTGTATCTGCTTGGTATTAATGCTTCAAAAGATGATTGCTTCTTCTCCAGAACACATTTTTCTTTTGAATAATTATTTTAGTTAAAAATCACAGTTTATGCCTTTTAGTACATTTTATAAATAAATAGATATATCTGTATATACAAACACAAACATTTAAATTAGTGAAATATTGGAAAGATATTTTATCCCTATGAACATACTAAATACAAATTAAAAATGACATTTTTACAGATTCAATGCGGTGCTTTTGCCAAATCTTCTAACTGAAACAACTCTTGTCTTT